TTTGTGTGCACACATACAGAAGCAACAAGATCCCTCATCTTAGAGTTTTTAAAACTTACAAAACACTAAGAGGACATGATAAGACAAAAGTCTAGAATAACTTGGCTAAAGCTTGAAGACAGCAATTCAACACATTTTCATAAGTCATTATCCTCTAGAAACAACAACAAGAAGACTTATGCATCACAACAGATTCTGGCCAAATCATTGACAGCAAAGATGGAATCATAACAGAAATTGTGGGACACTTCCAAAGGTTGTTAGGTACATCCCTTCCATTAACTCATACCCTTTCTGAACTACAACCATTTATCACTGCACAGGTCCCAACACATCTAAAGCCCCTCTTAGATGAAATTCCATACCAATAGGTCAGTGGCTTAGCGGTACCAAATCCCTATTTCTCAAAGAGCGGTTAGGGGTTCAAGTCTCAGTGGAGGCATATGTGTGTGAGTACCAACTAGGAAAAAAAAAATAGATGAAATTCCATCCCTTTTGGACATCCAAACATGAATGTTCAAACTCAACAGGGACAACGCTCAAGGTCCTGATGGCTACAATGCATTATTCTTTCAAAAAAGTTGGGGAACTGTGGGTAGATCAGTTACTAGAGCCATTACTGAGTTCTTCACCAATGGAAAACTACTTTCAGAAGCAAATAACACTTACATCTCACTTGTCCCTAAATGCCAAAACTCCTCATCTATATATGATTACATACCAATTTCTTGTTGTAAAATAGTGTATAAGTGCATTGCAAAGTTGCTTGCAACCAAGCTTCAGTCCACTCTCCCGCACAACATTGACAGCTCTCAATCAGCCTTCGTCCACAGAAGGAAGATCACTGATCCAGTCTTTTTGGCTTATAAACTATTAAGGGGTTACCACAGAGATAATGAACCTGCCAAGTGTGCAATTAAGATTGATCTAATTAAAGCCTTTGACTCTGTGAAGTGGGATTTCATCTCTCTCATTCATGCCTGCATATCTTCTCCTTCTTTTACCATTGCAATTAATGGTGAATTCAAGGGTTTCTTTAAGGGTAAAAGAGGGTTGAGACAGGGAGACCTTATTTCCCCCTTTCTCTTTGTAATAGTGATAAATGCACTATCCTCTATCATTAACAATTTTGTAAGCAGGGTTAGGGCATTCAAGTACCACTGGAGATGTGGAGAATTGAAGATTACTCACCTATAATATGCAGATGACCTCCTTCTATTTTTCCATGGAGATATTACCTCAGTGTCAGTGATCAAGTCAGCATTGGACTACTTCAACACAATGTCTGGTCTTGGCATTAACACCTCAAAGGCATAATTTTTCTTTCAGGAGTGGACTAACACACTCATCGTCTAATCACCTCTGTACTTGGAATTCAAGCAGGCTCACTCTTAGTTAAGTACCTAGGGGTACCACTGATTTCCACTAACCTCAAGTCCTCTCACTGCAGCCTCTTAATTGAGAAGATCACCAAGACAATTACACATTGGTCCTCTAGGTCACTCTCTTATGCTACAAGGTTACAACTCATCAAGGCTGTTTTAGTTTCAACACAAATCTATTGGTCTAGCATCTTCATCTTACATAAAGCAGTGATCAATGAGCTCAACAAGATTTTCAGATCATTCCTTTGGTCAGGACCTGAAATGAAATCCACTAAAGCTAAAGTGTCTTAGGGCAAGGTTTATAGATCAAATGAAGCTGGGGGGTTGGGGATTCCTAACTTGGAGTTGTCAAACAAGGCTGGGATTATAAGGTTCATTTGGGATTTGCAAACTGACAACAATGACAGACTTTGGATTAAATGGTGCAACACTCATCTAATCAAATCAAGGAATCTGTGGGAGATCAATATCCCTCATTCTTGTTCTTAGAGCTGGAGGAAGATGCTGTAACTTAGACATCCAGCAAGACTACTCTTAAAGCATTCCATTGGCAATGGCTTAGAGACTTCATTTTAGTTGGATAATTAGGCTCCAAGAGGACCACTATGCACTAGGTTCCCCCACATCAATCCTCTAACAGATTGGTATCAATCAAGCTACCACTCTGGATAATTTTGTTGTGGGTTCCTCTTGGTCATTCCCCCCTCTATCACATCCTCTATACCTGAACTGTTCCACATACAACCCCCAGTCCTATCTAGGAAAGACAAGAAGCGATGGATTGCATCCTTAACAGGCTTATTCAGCCTTAGTCACACAGTTTTTTTCCTTGCATGCTACCACCCCTTGGTCCAATGGCACAATGTGGTGTGGTGTTCACCAGTAATCCCCATAATGAAGCTAAACCTATGGCTAGCAGTGCAATCCAGATTGCCAACTCTTGACAGCAGATCAATGGGGAACCATACTAACATATGTTCCCTATACCTTTCTCATCCAGAGTCACATGATCATATCTTTCTCAATTGCTGTTTTACCTCCCTAATTTGGAGATTCATAAAAGATAGATGCCAATTTTATACATCAATCACGAATTGGGAGTAGCTCATACAGTGCATTAGTGTGAGATGGAAAGCAAAATCGGTTCCGAACCTTCTTAAGAAAGTATGCTTCTCAGCCATGGTATACCACACTTGGGAAAAAAGGAACGAAAGGGTCATCAAAAAGAAGAAATCATCACAGAGGGTAATCCCTACTCAAATCTGCTCCACCATCACTGCAATTCTATGGCTCGGCTTCTTTCAAGACTACACTACATCTAGGAAAATTCTCTTAGAGTGGAACCTATCCCCTTCTTGCTGTAGACCCCCTCCTCGCCCGCTGGATTGAAGTTTCTGCCGACTTAATGCCGATATCAATGCCCTAGAGCTCTCGCCGGATTGAACGGCTAATAACCACCATTAACAGCAATTAAAGGCCGGTAATTTTGGTTTTTAGTTATTGCTTAAGGTTGGGTTTCATTATATGGGCCTGGACCCTTCTATTTTGCCCTAAAGTGGGCTTGTACTCCCTTAGGGGTTGTTTGGCCAAAATGCCCACACTGTAATTACTTTTACATTTATAATACTTGCTTAAAATTCCAAAAAAAAAAAAAAAAAAAAAAAAAAAAAAAAAAAAAAAAAAAAAAAAATGATGATTGGGATATTTTTCTTGCCAATGTGGTGTCATTTTGCAATTAACATAACATTAATATACCTAATTTGAGTTCTCTTTATGTAAAGGATACGGGTCGTCATTGTCAGCAACAAGATCATATTACAGTTGAGCACCATTATCACTTTGACATTTTCAACTCTGCCATAGATTTACAGTTGATGGAGTTAAAACATAGATTCAATAATGAAGTAATGGAACTTCTTACTCTTAGCTCGGCTTTGGATCCTAGTGATTCTTTTAAATCTTTTAACGTGGAAAAGCTATGCAATCTTGCTCAGAAATTCTATCCTTGAGACTTCACTGGCCAAGATGTTAAAACATTGAAGTTTCAGTTGATGCATTATCAACTTAATGTACTTGGTGATCCTGAGTTTCAGAATATTTCTTCTCTTACTTATTTAAGTCGGGAACTAGTTGCAAGCAAGAAGATTGAGTACTACCCTTTGGTTGGCAGATTGATCCATCTTGTGTTGACTCTTCCTGTTTCTACAGCAACTATGGAGAGAGCATGAGAGCATTTTCAGGCATGAGACGTGTTAAAACAGCGATTGGAGATTAATTTCTTGTTGACTGCATGACCATCAACTTTGAACTGAAACTTGTTTGGAAAATTGACTTCGAGTCTTTAATCGACAAATTCGAATCTTTAAAGACTCGTCGAGTACAACTTAAATAGATATTTTGTAATCTTTGAATTCAAATATTTATCTATATTATGTTATAAAACAAATTTTTTTTTTTTTTTTATTTTTTGCGTAAGAAATTTTGTTATTAAATCTATGTTTAATATTAGCCCACCTAATTGACAAATCCTGGATCCGCCCTTGGGGTCAAGGATTTGGTCACTGAAGAAAAGAGGGAGAACAAAGTCATAATGCCGATGGTGGCTGGAATCATTCATTTTTTTCAAACTAAAGATCGGAGTTGGGAGCTGCATAAAGAGGTTTGCAAATTTGGAAAAGGACTTGCAGAAAGAAACTAAAGAGAGAAGTTATAGAGATACTGGGAAAGAGGTGTTGGAGAAAGAAAGGGAATTTCTCAAGAGAAAAGACACAGATTGGAAAAAGATGATATGCGGTGTAAAGTTTTTTAACAAATTTATCCATGTAAATTTTAGATTGGTCGGGACCACAAATGACGTGGTGGGTACAGACAAATGATGTGGTGGGTACCAAATCACCTAATAATTTCTCAAGAGGATAGTCATTTCTCAAGAGGATAGTCACTGAAGAATTATCAAAAGAGGTATGTCATTTATATGCTGATGAATAAAGTTTTTCGACAAAAATTTATCCATGAAACTTTTGATTGGTTTGGAGGACAAATTAGACCACGTAATAACTTATTACCCCTCCATAAGTTGTCTATATAATATATATATATATATATATATATATATATATATATATATAATTCAAGCCAACTAACTTTGGCCATTGGTTAGGGTACAACTTGTTAGAGATCGATGCTTTGAACAATGAGCATTCCACAGGTTTGCTCTAGTAATTGGAAGATCCTCCACCTGTGAGGCTTGGCTAGGTCTATGATCAGGAAGAATGTGGGGAATGGAAATACAATCTTTTTTTGGGAAGATAATTGGCCTCAGGGGGACCTCTCTCTTTGAGTGTCTCTAGGGAATACATTGCAAACTCACCAATTTTACCTATCAGATACTGTCTTCCTCTATTCATGGTGGACAATGGCACTTCCCTGAATTTCAAGGGGGACACCTCTCTTTGAGTGTCTCTAGGTAATACATTGCAAAGTCACCAATTTTACCTGATCGGATATTGTCTTCCTTTATTCATGATGGACAATGGCACTTTCCTGAATTTCTTACACATCAATTTCCGAATTTAGCCAATATTAATCCACTGAGCACGAATGTTGACACCACCGTGTGGACTCCGTTACCTACAAGCACCTTCTCACTCAGCCATACAATTGGATGGCTTGAAACACATAGACAACCAAAATTTTGGTCTCACCTGATTTGGAGCACACTCTCTGTCCCAAGATGCAAATTTTCCCTCTGGCTTGCAATGCAGAATAGGCTACCCACACTCAATCGAAGTTGTATGAGGTCTTTCCAGGGCTCCAGAGTCTGTCATCTTTGTAATTTGGTTGATGAGTCTCACAACCATTTGTTCTTCTCATAGATTTCTCTTCAACACGAGTGTAGATTTCACTTTTCCCCTTCATCTTGGAACGAGTTGGTTGGAACGGGCATCAACCCATTGGTCAAGAAGATATCTGAGATCTTCGGTGAACAAGCTCATGCACTCCACCACCATCAACAAAATTTGGCATAAACTTAACAACCGGATCTTCAACCATCAAAGATGTTCACAGAATGTGATCTTTAGGCAAATCACTGATGAGATGATTAGGCAAAAATTGCTTACTCTAACTGTCAAAGACTCACCTCCTGCAAAAAGACTGAAATTAGATTGGGACTTGCGTCGTTCATCCACCACCGCCAGAACCTCCTAATCGCGTCAATTAGGGTTGTGGGCAAGCCTGTATTTCACCAGATGTTATATACCTTAGACACGAATATTCTTGGGTTTCCTAGAATAACATCGTCTTTGGTCTATACTGATTGGCTTAGGCCTATGTTCCTCCTTTTGTTTATTTGGATTATTTTGTATTGGACTTGTCCATGGTTCGTGCGCTAAAAGCTTTGTAAATCTTGTATCTATTTTAATTAATGAAACTTACCTTCGGAAAAAGAAAAAGAAAAAAAAAAACAAGAGACAAACTAGTGGCCTCACATAAGAGATCAGCATTAAGCTGATTGCATTAATATATATAATTTAATAAATTTCCAAATATTAGTCTCTCTCACAAACTTTCAACCTAAAGCTGAATTAGCAAGCAATTTTAACAGAGACACCCATGCATTGTAGTACTGCTCAACATTATATTTTGTCATTAGATTATCCGGTAGATCCTTTGGGTGCGCATGCCATTCTAGCCTTTGTTATCTTCTCTCGCCCGGGAGGCATTAATTCTGATAAGAAAATACACACATATAAATATATTATTTTTTGGTCAAAGGAAGCCTTTCAGTAGATGCACAAAAAGTGGTACTGCCAAAAATTATCTCAATAATGAATATTAACTGCCACATATATTCAACACCAATTAGACCCTAAACATAATAAATAGTGACATCTTAGCAGGGGAAAAAAAGAACTCAAGGATATAACATAACACGAGCACAAATACTTTTTATATTAGCAATTCTATTAAAAAAGACAATAAAAAATGGTAACAACAAAGAAAAACACACTTCCTAAGAAATAAATTTTTGGTAGAGATATATTTAAAAAATATATTACAAGAAACAAATAACCTAATGAAAGAAATTCAATGCTAATATTCGGATTAGAAGAAACATGTTTGAGAAAACACGAACGAACACCAAGGAAGCAAGATATATATATTTTTTCGGAAAGAATGAAACACACTTACTAAAAATTGGGACCAGTGTAATATCGAAATCCTTGAGATGCACAAAAAAAGAAAAGAAAGGATGCCAACATACTTTCATCAATATAACATTAAATGCTGCTGAAGCACTTCCCAGGCCATGTGCCCAAGTGGTATCAGTTGCATTTTCTCAAGCACTATTGGCCTACTTAAAGGGTGACACCTTCTGGCAAAATAAGTAGAACACACCAAACCTCACATAAGAAACACACGTGCACACACTTTTTTTACTTTGGAAGGCAAGGAAGTACCACTAGGCTACAAGGACCTTTTCATGTTACTTAATTTTATTATAAAGTTTTAGTACAGTGATGTTCTAGGGTTTTTCAATTTACAATAACCTAAATCCTAACTCAATTATTGCAAAATGGTGCGAGATTTAAGGATTTAGATTGCTCAAATTGCATTATTTGGATCTTACATCCTGCACTCTTGTCTCCCATCATATCCACAAGACTCGCTCATGGAGTCACCAAAAAGTGTTACTCTTAGAGATTCAAGTATAAGATAATGGAGATTGAAGTAGATTAGACCAGATTGGACACCAAGACGCCCTTATAAGAGGGAAAGGCAACAACCATGAAAAACAAGGAATCCTAGGAAACCTGTTACAATTTTAACACGATTCTTTCTTATGTGTCTTGAGTTGAGAATAGATAGAAGCCAACCTCAACTTTTAAAGGGAAATAGAAGCGTAATGGAAGATGGTGGGCGCATTTGTTAGTGATGCATTTCATAAGACAATCCCACATTTCAATGGTGCATTGAATAGAGATGCTCAAAAAAAATTTACAGTCTCTCTGTCTTTAAGGTGAATGGGGTTTAACCTAAAAGGGTGACCTCAAGGTATCCAGAGTCCCACTACACAACAAACCAGTAGAAATCCAAGTGGACCACGACCCAACCAAAGGATTAAGGCACGTGAAGAGTTCAATAAGTCCCTTGCGATGCAAAAGACTTGTGCGAGCATAAAGATGTGCGAGTGAGAATGCATGATTAGACGATCTTTTAAGTATGCGGTGTGAGATGAAGATCCTCCGCAGAAATCTACTTGCAACAAACACTCAAACCCTAAATTGGATTAATACACTACATAGTACCAAAAAGATAATGCAGTGTAAGCCATGGCATTGGGATATATAGAACATTGCAAATAGCACACGTCAAAATTTAAGTGGACCGAATCTTTCTTGAATACATGTCCATATGGAAAACAGAATTGTAGTTTTGGAGGAAGTTGCACGAGATGAAAAATTGACACATGGATTTTGTGCCAAGGCCATGTGATGTGATGCAAAGTGCCATTACATATTGGCTGCCATCTAGTATATATATATAAACTACAGTGGAAGCAAAATGTCAAATCGTCAACCATAAAATAGATTCAAATATTACAATGACATAAAGTTCGCAAAATAGTACACCAGCCAGAAGCAAACATACTAAGTTAAGTAATTTCATCTACAGCTATCCACTTAATATAAAGTGCGACCAATAGACAAGGAAAAATAAAAATCTACAAGGTTTATTCAAGTTTCAAGGGAATAAGACAAACCGTTCTAAGACAAACCGTTCCATGTACCAATCCTCGAATCTACTTTTCCTGTAATCAAAAAACAAATTAGGATATAAGACACATTATACCAAAAACTACAATTGTTCCAACATAATTCTTAGATATAACCATATAAACACCCCCCCCCAAAAAAAAAAAAAAAACACCAAAAAAAAAAAAGAAAATAAACACTGGCAAAACCAAAAATATTTAGAAATCTCCAAGTAGAACCCAAAAATGCTATAAACCAACATTGCAACAATATTATTGATTTTTTGATTAATTTCACTAACACCCCCTCAGGTTTGGCCAAATATCACATTGAAACATCTTTTGAAAATAACTATCACTCACATTACAAACGTTTATTCCGTTTTTCACTTACACCCCCAAAAGTTACTTTTCAAGTGTGTCAGATACCTTTTTGTATGTAAAAATGATATTACTACCCTTCTAACTATCTTTTAACTTTAAAAAGTGTTAAAATAACTTGAATACCCTTTGACATTTATTATATAAATTTATAATTATTCTTTATATATATATATATCATCATGTAGACCCACCTCCAATTTAAAATTATTCTTTATATAAATATATATATTTCTCTTTATATATACTAGGGGTGGCAAAAGTTTACACGACCCGTCAACACGACTCGAACACGACACGAGTTAAACGAATTCGAATCATAAACGGATCAACACAATTAACTCGTCTAGTTAATCGTGTTGTGTTTGGGTTGAGGAGTTCAACCCTTGTAACCCATTTATACACGTTTAACTATATATGTTGTAAATAAATTCTATTTATGTTCTAAAATTACTATATAAACTTGTGTCTTATAATTTAATCTTTTATAGACTAGAAACTATTTAGTAATTTGGTTGACTAAAACTTATAATTTTTTTAGTATTTATTATGTTATTGAGTATTATTAATAATTTAAATAATATAATTTTTTTTTATATTTATAAATAGGTCATTAAACGGGTTACACGTGTAACCCGTTTAATAAACAGGTTGGATTAGTGTTGAAAGTTCCTGACACAATTATTAAATGGGTCGTGTTCGGGTTGAGCTATTTAGTATAATACCCTTCAATTGATACAACACGAATACGACCCGCAAACACGAATTGCCACCCCTAATATACACCAACTAAATTATAATTATTTTTTAAAACTATTCTATATAATTATTCTTTATATATATATTTCTAATCATGAACACCGCCAGTTTTCTTCACCTTTTCTATATCTTTTTCTTTTCTTTATTTATTTTTATTTTTATTTTCTAATTTCCTTTTCTTCTTCATTACCGCCGGTAAAGAATTTTTTTATTTTATTTTCTTCTTATTCATTACTGTTGGCAAAGAATAGAGACAGAGAGGCCATTAATGGTTCCTCATCACCGACGACCACTTTGGTCGCCTCTTCTCTCTCGATGCCGGAACCACCAGTGTGTGTGTATTGATGTGCATATATGCACATGTAGTTTCACTGCAATTTTTTGCACAATTTTGTTTTTCCTGGTCAAACCCAGGTATCAGATTTGAATAGGTCACATGCTGAAAAAGTTAAGTGCTTGCAGATTACCATAGATATTAGCCAGAAATAAAAAATAATAATTCCAACTAATTTCCAAGTCGTCGATTACAGCAACCACCATGGTCGCTGCACTGTTAAGAGTTTATGATAATCAGGGTTTGTAGTGAGAGAAAGGGGGAGTGTGAAATTTGCAGTGAGGGTAAGGGTATTTTAGTCCTTTCAATTTTTTGATACCTTACAATAAAAGTTATTTGGGGTCTGAGTGATAATAATTTTCGAAAAGCGTTTCTATGTGATATTTGGCCAAACCTAAAGGAGTGTCAATGGAATTAACCTTGATTTTTTATCATGCACTTTTAGATGAGAGAGTGGAAACCTAGAGAAATAAAAATTTATTGTAAAACATAATCTATATATATATATCGCTATAAAAGTGTGTAGAACTCTTAATATTTAAATACATTTATACGAACCACTTTTAATTAAATTAAACAATATTACCACGTAGGTTTGAATTTTGACCTGTTTCCACCTCTTCTAATAAACACACCGAATTACTTTGTTTTTTTTATTTTTTTTTTATTTTGACAGTTGAGAGTTATCCATTCAAAATAAATCATCCTCCTAATTAAATTAAAATAAATTTTTAAAGATAAGTGACCCGTTATAATTCTTTCCTTCATTAAACTACACAACGACTGAAACTACCGGTTCAAGCTTATAAAAACACGCATAATACACTACTGTATAGAAGTATTTCAGCCTCTCTCTTTTTTTTTCTGTGCAAAAAATAATTTGCTCTCTATCATCAAACTACACCTTGGAACCCTTTTGGAAGAGACTCATCCTTGGTCACTGCACATCAAATCACAATTCAAAACCCTAGAATTCAAAAGGTATGTTTCAATTTGAATTGGTTAATATATATATTGTTATCAAATTCTAATCTTGAAGGATAGAATTGCTGGACAAAATTCAGGCCACCTATTCCAAATAGTTGTGTTAAGCCTTTGTGGAGCAGGGTTTGAGTTAAAAATCTCAAGCGAGTGGTATTTTATGTGATAAAAAACATATGTTCCTGGTTACTATTTCAAGAGCTAGACATAGACTTAATGAGTATTGGAATATATTTGAATTACACAGTTAATTCATCCACTGTGCATATCCAATATCTATCTTTGTTCTTAAAAATTGCAATCTATTGCATTGAGCCTTCTTTAAGATGATCCCTAGAAGAATTATTATCTCAAAGATTATCTGCTCTTGAGCGCTCTTGAGCATCATGATACACATTTTTTGTGTTATTAGAATAATAGACTCTACCTGAACCCAAGGTTTTTTTTATAAGTACCTGATGCCAAGATTTTGTCTGTGGAACAACTCATTAAAAAAAGTTCTGAGGCATCAATTGTCATTGTTTTGGTCAATCTCATCACCTTGATGTGAAATAACGTTCATGCGCAACAAAAAAGTCTATAGTTGATTCTTTTCTAACATAATTTTGACGTTGTAGTTAGCCATCTAATTAACCCCTAATAAAGGGGCCTTAATCATGTCTACCAATGTAAAGTGGAGATCTTGTATTCTTTTCAACATACAGCATTCGAGTTTATTACTCTTCATGCATTAAAAAAATGTTGGTGTCTATGGGTACTTCTGAAGCCATTCTGCAAGGTCTATGTGGGACTTTACATTCCCCTTTTAGTTTTGATCCACGCCTTTAACAAATCATTCTAAACGACATGTTAAGTCTAGAAAGAAAATAAACTCGAGATATATGCAATTTCTCAATTGTTCAAGTATGCAAACAAATAGCAGTGACATTCCTCACTTTCATGGTATACATGGTGTTTCATTAGGGAAGTACTCCAATTGATGGATGAGTGCTCCTAAATTGCAAATGCTAACACGCTGAAGAGTGAGTGAGGGGTTACTGCAGATGATGATAATGGAACATGACACATAGAAAATGCAAATAAATTAAAGACAATGAATGTAACTTATTTGATATTTCTACTTTATACTATAATTAAATTAATTTTATAATTGCATTGGACAAAGTATTGGATATCCAAAGCAATTGTTCTGAAAAAAAAATAATAATGATAATAATAATTGGGGGTAGGGGGACTTTGATGTTGTGTAGAAGCAAGTGCCAATCACAAAACTAACTCATGAATCATTAAGAATGAAATAAAGATAACTCACTATTTAAGCAATTAATGGATTGCAATGACCAAAAAGGCATAAAATCTAATCAGCAGAGCAGATAAAAATATATAATTAGTTGAAAGAGAAACAGATAGAAACTCTCCAGAACTGATCAGACCTAAATCAACCGACTTTTTTTTTTCAGAAAAAAAAAAAAAAAATGACTTCAGTATAGATTGGAATCTAAACTAGTAAAGTAAGATATGAAGAAACATACCCCATACCAACTAGAACACCGGCACCCACACAAGCAGCAACACCCACCGGAAACAAAACTGATGTACGAAAACAATTATTTGCATCAGTGAAAATTGAAGCACAATTAAGACAGGGAAGGGAAGGGGAGAGAGAGGATTACTCATATTAGCAAGCAACGGCATCTTGGCAATCTGAAATAACAAACTTTTATAACCGCCTTTCAATCCTTCTGATTTGTTCCTCCTGAAAACCCTAGGATTGTACAAAATAGCTTATAAAAATATCCACTTTAAAAGTTCAATAAAAATCAAAATAATAGAAGAAGAAGAAGAAGAAGAAGAAGAAGAAGAAGAAGAAGAAGGTGTCGTACCAATCACGAAACCCTCTGGCTTTGCTTCTCTTTGTTCCCTTTTCACGATAATTCGAGTGGGCAAACCGAATTGGAAAAGGACTGGACTGATGGAGGCTTGGAGCTTAATATTGTTCTTAGGCCCTCACCCACGCCTTCCCGTCCACCTAGCCCAATAAACACTTTCCCTCGACATCTCTAGGCCCACATAAGACTTAACCGTCTGAACCAAAAAAACAAACCCCGGGGGCCGGTTTTGGGCTTTCCATACACAACATGAAATGTTTAATTTGTTCTGAAATAAAAATAATATATTTTAATTCAAAATATTAATTTATTTAAACGACGAAGCTACCCTTGCATTTTTGGCACCAAATTGGACACCTATCCCACCCAACCCTTTCATATCTCTCTCTCTCTCTCTCTCTAACCCTTTCAGCCCTTTGGTGATTTACTTTTGTTGTCGAACTACCAAATACACACACAAATGTCCATTGTAGGGTTCAAATTGGTCAATTCAAAAGTCAAAGGGTAATAAGAGTTAGAGGTGTTAAGATGTGATTGTTCAATTTTTCAAATCTGTGGGGGTGATTGGATCACACTCACCCCAAGTTATAAATGGGTGTCTTTAACCCAAACCTGGGGGGGTGTCAGTACAATTTACTTTAAATAAAAATTATAATTGGTTACATTATACCCTTTTTGAGAAGGAAAATGCTTAAAAATCACCAATATCCATTTAGTTAGCCGGAATTTGATGGTGGAAAGTAAAAAGAAAAGAAAATGAAGTGAAGAAAAAGAAAATGAAGTTCCTATTATGTATTTGGTTAGTATAATTTTTTTTTTTTTAAATTTGTGAGAAAAAATTGTTTCATTAGTTTGAATAACACGAGAGTGAAAAGAAAATAATTTTATATACCAAAACTACCCTTACTGATTCAATATAAAGTAATAAACATCATGCAATAGGCATAAAAAAAATACAATTGGGTTATGAATAAATAAATATATATTTGTGTGCATATATATATATATGTGTGTGTGTGTGTGTCCAAATACAAATTTGGTAATTGAACAGTTTTTTTTTTTTTTTTTAGGAATTATATATTAGGACTTACTACTATATTAGATTAGCTAACTTCTTTTGTGAGTGTGGAGAAGAGTTGTAATTTAAAGAGTCATAAACATAATAACAGAGTTCTAATGTAACGATGAAGAAAGAGAATAATGAAGATAAACAACTAACAAGGGCACTGTTGGTCCTAGCCTTTGTTCATGGTTTGCCTTTTAAATGTCAAATGTTAGCTCACAGGCCCATTCCTATGATATTCTACAAGTTATGGTGTGCTCAGTTTAATTCTTAGACATATAGGGATATCATTGTCATTTCTAGTATGCGAGTTGCCAATTAAAATCATTTTAAAAGGCTACATTGTGTCACATATTCAGTTCACATGCCTAAACATTGTTATTTTCTGGTTTATCATGAAGTCTGTCACTCTTAGGGGTATTTTAGTCTTTTCAAGCATCTGTGTTGTCACTATACATTTATATTGGATACTACATTGCTATCCTGAGCTCAAGAAATTACATTTACAATGTATTCACAGGCTGCTATACAGGTTTCTTATATGTGTGACATATGTCCTCTTGAAGGGCATTTTGGTTTTTCTGTACATATGGTGCATATGTTTGTCATATGCAGTGTGGTCATAGTAAGAGAAATTTGTTGGACAAAACTACATTACTTTGGCACTAAGTTTTTCATTTCTTCTTCATGCTACAGCTGGTACGAGTGTGAGTGTGTATGCAAAAGGTGTGTGCACTAGTGGATAAAATTGAGTTGTGCAAGGACAATGTGGTCCATTAGCACAAGTGAATGTCAAAATATTCCCTTTCTGATAAGTGCTAAAATATGCACATTTCAACCCTAATCTTGAGTATAATAGAACCTTATTCTATCTTTATTTCTCCACTTTAGTCTTATTTTGTTTTATTTCCATTTTCAGGTTCATAAGGTTCAAATGAGATAAATCTAGTGTCTTAAAGCCTTTGGATAGTTAACTAGAAGTCTTGGCAAGAAACTGAAGCAAAAAGGAAGCTGAGTTGAAAATTCATATCCCTGATTGATTGAACTCTGATCGATCGAGCCAGAAGCCTTGAATGATCAAGCACTTTGTCTTTATCCAAATAAATATCTCCAACAACCTCTAATCGATCGAGCACTTTGTTTTTATCCACATAAATATGTTCAACAACCTCTGATCGATCGAACAAGGCTTAATAGCTGTGAAAATAAGAATTTAAGCTTGATTCAAGGGGGCTCGGGGGTGCAATCAAGCAGGTGTCCTTGTGTACATTGTTTGACTAATTTGAGGTCACAAGAGCCATATAAATAGAAGATTAGCCTATTTTGAAAGGGTTGGCACTTGTGGAACATTAAAGATTAGATTTGTGATATTTTGGGACGCACTCTCTCTACATTCTTTCTCTAGGGTTTTAATCAAGGAAGAAGAAGAAGAAGATGAACCCAAACTTGGAGATGGATTGTGAGACCACCATGATGACATCTCCCTTTTCCATGAGTGGTTAGTTCTTCACTTAGGGCTTAGATGAGCCCTAAGCTTGTGTAATTAAACCTTTTTCCTTTCGATTTTAGGGATTATATATTGTAATTAGTGCTTGGTATTATGAATTCAAACTTGGTTGTACCAAGGTTTATATTGATAATTTTTTCAATTGATTCTCTATATTAGTTGCATGTTGTCTTATGTGCGATTAATTGAGGGTTAATCTCTACATTGAATATTTTTTGTAATTGTGCTTAGTGATGGCCATGCGTGGTTTCTATTGGATACAATTGCTAATTAGTTTGATGGATTATGCTTAGTCTTGATGGGTTGTACTACACCTTAAAGTAATTGTAGTAAGGTAGACAATTCATGCTTGATTTTGATAGTTCATACTTATTCATTAAAATTTGTATTATCTTCTTGATTATTGATGGGTACTTCTAGCCATAATTCTATTACAATGTGATATCCACATTAATTGAAGGCATTTGGTATAGTTGCATGACTTTAGTGGTGTAATCTATGCCCTAAGCCTCTCTCCTTATTACATGAATTCAAGTTACTTTATCTGAATTTCATTTGCATGCTCCACATAGTTTCTCATTAGTATAATCAACCAATCACCATCTTTTCAATCTCACGCTCATTGATGTTAAATTAAATTCCAAGCCAATAATCCCTGTGGACGATCCTTTTCACTATACTAACGTATGTGTGTTTAGTGGTTTTATAAATATAAAGTTGATGTCCCATTTGCCACATACAAAATATCTCATTTTTTAGTATACATAAGGTGTACAACAAGTTTTTGGCGCCGTTACCGGGGATTGACGGTTTTATTGGAATTAAATTTAATATTAGTGTTCATTTAATTGCTAGTATGATTCATTTTCTACTATTTTCTTATCATTATTCTATGTGCAATTAGGTTCTTAATTGAAAGAGAAGAAAGCTTTGGGATCACGGCATTGTGCTTTAGACCTTTATGAGCGTATCTTGAACCCTTGAACCATTTTTGCACATTTCTATATTTGTTTGAGAAAGAGTCCTTGTCGAGGTTATCAAATTATTTAAATTCTAGTTCAAGTATAGGTCCTTATTGAGGCCATTTATATATTTGCATTGTGATATTAAGGAGAAATGGATCATCTATGTAAATGTTTTAGTGGTGGAGTTGTTGAGATTGTGTTGTTGTGTGCTTGTTGTGTATGCGTACGTGGTAGAAGATCTCTTCATACTCCTCTCATTCTTCTAGACCAAGAAATCGAGTCTTCCCTTAAGAAATTAAGAGGTAGTGAAAGAAGCACTCTTCTTATTCTAAATCATTCAATTAATTCAATAGCACAACACAACCCTCCTTCAGTTTTTCCCGAGCCACCTCATGTACCTCAACTACCTCATGTAGTTCCTCCACCTCAAGTAGCTCATCCATTACCTAATCCTCAAATGGTCCTTCGTAATCGTTACACTCCCAATCTTTATAATGCTCCGATATGTTACCGTTTGCCAAATGCGAGGGCTAATCATTATGAAATCAAGCCCGGGATCATCCAAATGTGTCCCACATTTTGTGGGTTGAATTATAAATATCCATCTAAACATTTGGATGAATTTCTTGAAGTATGCACCACCGTTAAGATCACCAATTTTCCGGAAGAAGCCTTGAGAATGAAGCTTTTCCCTTTTTCTCTCCGAGATAAGGCAAAGTATTGGTTTAACAACTTAGGAGCTAATATCATCACTTCTTGGGCTCAAATGCAACAAGATTTCCTTAAGAAGTATTACCCCGTAAGTAAGACCAATAAAATGAGAACGGTTATTCGAGAATTTTCTCAAGGTGATGGAGAGCCATTCCATGAAGCTTGGGAAAGATTGAATGATTTGTTACGAAAGTGTCCACATCATGATGCTACTTTTTACTGTTGATGAATAGTAGATGTGACATATCTTCTTGTCGTGTGTTGGATTGTTGTGCAGTTGATCTTTTTGAGAACATGAGCGAAAACTCCATGCATTGTTCTTCATCTTCTCGATTGGGTTGTGTTTCTATGATTGGGGGAAAGAAAACTGAAAATCTATGTCATGTATATAATTCTATTAAGATTGCCGCCGAGGTTAAAAGTCTTACTCAAAGGTTTAATCAATTCCTTTCGAGTCAAACTTCGGCAAATCAGTCATCCTCTCCTCCTCGAGCTCAAAATGAAACATGCATGAATTGTTCAAACTCAAGTCATAATGCTTCAAATTGTCCTCATGGATAAGCAATTGTGAAAACAGTTTAATGCTGGATGCGGAAGCTTTTAGTTGATTGTAATTATAATTAACACCTTTAATGACCTAGATGATATTAATAGGTCAACTTGCCTAATTTATGATTGATTAAATTTTCTAATCAATTAACCATCCACAATCACAAATATTAATACTTGAAAAGTAAACAAGTAGGTTTAGAGAGATTGCACCAGGATTTTTAGCGAGGAAACCCTAATTGGTGAAATAAACCAATTGTTTACGTGGGAAAAATCTCGTGGACTGTGCAGTCTAAAGTAAACCAATCCACTATATATGAAACAAAGTACACTGAACTTTGACTTAGGCTAACACA